CTATATGCACTTTTTGGGGAACCAAGCACCCTTCTTGGAGACAAACCTGTCATAGGTAGGGATAGCATGATTCTATGCTGCTCCTTCTAGATTCAAAGTTTTGCAATTCATAATTTTCAGAAAAGTGTTCCGAGAGTTCAACCAAGACTCAGAGTTCTGTCTCAGAGGGCATGGCAGATTTGGGGCCTCAGGAGCAAATGCTGTCAGCTTGAAGTTTCAGAGTCTGACGAGATGAGAAAAAAATAGCCTCTGGGTTATAAAATCATATTTTACCAGAGGAAATGTTATGCATTGCATATTTGAGACTTTGCTGGTTGACTTCAAGACAGTATTCTAGAATTTCTAGTTTAAATAAATTTGGGGATACCTTATTTTATTGTAGTTATCAGAAGCCCAGGCTTCAAATAAATGGAAATAGCTTGATGAAACCACCTCGAGTCACAGATTTTAGCCATATTATATTAGAATGTATGATGGCACACATGGATGAAAGTGCTTAGTTATCCCTTCTACTATGATACATATTGTTTCAACATTGGTACAAAGCATTGTTTTGGGCATTTTCACAGAGAACATGCTTTGAAGAATAAATCAGAGAGCTGCAATAAGTACTCAGCAGAATGATAAATTGCCTTGTCTTACTGGTGTCAGCACAAATATGACTGGCAACATCTTATAAATCATTCTGGATCAATAGTATTCTTTAAATAGGTCTGGGTGACTAACAGCCCAATGTTATTCATCCCTGCTTAGAAGGAGGTCCCATTAAATTGAATAGTTCTGCTACAACATGAGTGTATCTAGGATTGCAACCTAAATTTAGTAAAATAATTTCCCAACAATTGAGGGTACAGAAGGACCATTTCACTCCAATATTATTCCACTGCTGTTGTGTTGAATGAATTTTGAACATCGCCTTTGTCTTAGATAAAAAAAAAAATAGTTGTTTCCCCTTGCACATACAGCCATAGTCCAACAATGGCATTATTATAAAACACTGTGTGGGATTGTGAACTAAGACTATAGGATATTTATGGAGCATCAAAGTGTATGAGATTTCCCACAGCACTTTAGTAAAAGAGGCACCCTCTCTCTGTGCCACATCCCAGCCTGGTTCACTAAATGAATGGGAGAATGAATGAATTATTGTGTATAGTTATATATTGTATCCTAATCTTCTTCTTCTTCTTCTTTTTCTTCTTCTTCTTCTTCTTCTTCTTATTATTATTATTTGTGCATAAGATTGATGTGTGCAAGCAAACATTGACACATGTGCATACCTAGATAAACAGTTTTATGCACACTACTTTTGTGTTATGTAATCCACAGTCCTCCAAAAAGGTAGGGATACAAATCATTGCTTATTATTCACTCATGATAGAGTGAAAAAGGGTCAAAAGTTTTCCCCTACTGGCCAGATTACAGAAGTCCCCCCCTCCATTTTTCATTGTTTTATATCATGAGTTATTTTCTGAAAATTTTGTAAAGAGGATTTTTTTGTTGTACAAAAACATTTCTTTATTCAAAAACATTTGCTTTTGATCAAAATTTATTAGTTTTTGTATAAAATGAAATGGTTTTGTTTTGGGGAAAAATATTGGTTTTTATGCAATAAGCAGTTTTTTTGTAGTGGAAGCTGTTGATATATATACAAGCCACCAGTTTTTACACTCTTGTAGAGTGTAAATTAATAAATAAATATATATCCCAAGAGCTGACTTTTTCCCCCTACAGGATGTCTAGAATATTGAGGCAATCTTTCT